TTGGGTGGGCAATCAAGAACTACTACTCTTGGGAAGGAAGGGGCTCATCATTCAGGCAGAAGATGTAGGGTACCACTGCAGCAACACATCTAGGCCTGGTAGAAACTGGTCCCGAAGAAGCACCTAACAGAGACCAGAGACAACGGCCCCAACCTCCCCCAGCATCAGCTGAGACAACCAGGATTCATGGATTCATTGGAAAAAAGATGGCGCCACTTTCAAACACCCCTCTGTTAGGGTCTGGGGATGAAGCCCAGTGGGAGAGTACTCACCTGGCATGTAAGAAGCCTTGGCGTCTACCCTAAACACTCTAAGAACCTCAGAAAAAGCACCACATCCCATGGAGAATGAGATGGTTTTGAAGTCCTTTCCATCACCATCTCTGTGACTTAATGTTTTAAAATCATACCTGTCATAGGAGAAGGTGGCACAACCTTCCTTTTAGTTTTTTTGAAAAATCCATCCTCTGGGTTGTTGAAGTAATATTTTCGTGTCAAGAAAGACTAGTAGAAAAAAGAAAATCTTTTTAAATATGAGAATTCTGACACAGTTAATTGTCAAATTTTCCCCCCGGTAACTGGCTGCAGGCCCTTGGGATTCACTTCTACACTCTGAGCTGTCAGCCTCTTTGGCAGCCACTCTGATTCTTTAGCTGAGTCACACTTCAAACAATTTCCTAAGAAGGGTGAGGGCACAGTGGCAGCAAACACCACCAGGCTGCAGCTTAATAATTGGGTGGTCACCTCCAGTTTCCTCCAGAGTCCTCTTGTACATTGAGGTTCTGCTGCCCTCAGAGGCAAATAGTGGAGCTTTTTAGTAGAAAGTAAGTGAGTACCTGTTTGGGAATGTATTTTCCATTTTCCCTGAGGACTCTGCTTCGAATTAGGACTTGACTGAAAAACACAAGACAAAGAGATGTGGAAATGTGAAACACTAGAAGAAAATGAGAGAGGAAAGTAGAAGACCCATTTAAACCTAAGAGAGGACCTGTTTGGCAATAGCTGGATGTGGAAACTTTCCAAAACCCCTAAAAATCAATGTAACATATTCAACTTGCCACTCAGCCTCTCACAAAAGGAGTCTTCCAGAGTGTTCCGAACAAATAAAGGTTTCTGAGGAAGGCAATCTGGGACATTGCACTTGGCCTTTCTGGACTCAACATAAGCCACAAAGGAACTTTCCTTGCAAGGAACGAGTAGATGGACAGTGTTCCAAAGACTGAAGGCAGGAGGCGGGAGAGAGGTGATGGCAAAGGAACTTCTTCATTCACCCAGGGAACTGGTTATCTCACCTAGAAGAATGAGACTGAAAAGAAAGGAATGGA